GGAGTTGTCTTCGAAAGGGAGGCGCGACTTGGAATTACCGCGCGCCGCACCTGCGAGCAAAAAAAGAACGTCACGACCGCCGGGAGCAAAAAAGAATCGATACTGGGATTCGAACCCAGAATCTCCGACGAGATCGCGGCGACCGTATAGCCGCCGCTGTGATCCGTAGTCACGCGCCTTATCCATTGGGCCATACCGACAAAGACAAGTTCGGCGAGCCGGGAATCGAACCCGGGGATAGTCGATGGCAACGACTAATGTTACCACTACATCACTCGCCGTAACCCCCCGTGGGAGGGGTATAGAGTACAGTCTGCGGGATTCGAACCCGCGCCCGAAGACCAGTGCCTTAAACTGGCGCCTTAGACCGCTCGGCCAAAACTGCGAAGATATCTGAGGGGCGCGCAATCGGACGACGCGGCTGGTGAGCCACACCGCCAACCATCACACACCCCAGCCAAACGACGAAAGATACAGGTTGATGGTGTACCTCTCGCCAGAGTGGAGAGAAAGAGGCGGTATCGAACACTGGACCCACGATGCAAGATCGCTGCTCCGATGTCGAGAACCGCTTCTTTTCTTTGTTGTGAGAGACACACCAATTTCCTTGGGATCTGAATCGGGGCAGCCTCGAATCGACAATTTCGGGGCAGCCTTTCTTTCGGGGCAGCCGCGCACGCGCGCGCGGGGCAGCCTCCGTTTCGGATCTGGGCAGCCTCCTTTTCTTTCGGGGCAGCCGCGTACGCGCGCGTGTGCGGCGGCCGGTCCAAGGCGGAGCTGCGCGGGCTCGACAGAGGAAGTGCAGCGGCGGGTCCGTGTTCGGCGCCGTCCACGTCCGCGCGCGGCGGAGTTTGCTGGCGCGGTTGCTACGGGAAAGAAACCGCCTCGCAGGACAGCGCGAAGTCCCCACCAAGTTCCCTCCTCTTAGCAGTCGTCCATGGCGCCGAGGGTCGGCGCGCGGGCCCGCCGCGCCGGCGCGAGCTCGAGGTCGAGGGCCTCGGGGCTCTCGCGCGTCGTCGTCGCCGAGCGCTCGCGGCGCAGCGACAGCGCCCGCGCGACGGCCTGGCAGGGCCCCTTGCCGACGCGCTTGCAGCACGTCTTGCAGCAGAGCCGGCCGAGGCGCGCGAGGCACGCGACGGCGGCGACCATGATCCAGACGATGACGGAGTACTTGACGTCCGTCTTCGGCGAGTCGACGATGAAGACGTGGAGGTACTCCGACGACTCCGACGGGTAGCGCTGCTTCAGGAGCGTGAGGAACCAGAGCACGTTGCGGAAGTGGATGTGCGCGATGTGGCCGCCCGTCGCGCACGTCAACAGGAGCGCGAACGCGCAGATCCGGAACGCGAGGCGGCAGACGCGGAAGACGCACTCGAGGATGGCCTGCGAGAGGCGCACGCGCGCGAGCTTGCGGATCGTCGCGAAGCTGGCCGACTCGATCTTCGTCAGCGTCTTCGGCCTACGGACGCGTCGGTAGAGCGTCGCGCCGGCCGCGCGCGTCGCGCGCGCGAACCCGCAGCTGCGGCGCGTCAACGCGCCCCTCGGGCCCGTCGTCGCGAGCGGGGCGAGCGTCGCGGCGCCGCGAGGGATCGAACGACGCGGGGCGCGGACAGGTCCCGCTTGCGCAGGTCGCGCGCGACGCTCGCCGTCAGGTCCTCGGCGTCGCCGATGACGCAGCCGAGGCGCGGCGCCTCGCGGCCGATGCGCACGACCTCCGTGTCGAGCCGGTTCACGTACTGGATCTTCATGACGTTCAGGATCATCGACAGGAGCGCGTTGTCGCCGCGGAAGAGCATGTAGGTGATGAAGCAGGAGCAGAAGATGAGCGTGACCTAGTGTGTCGAGGGCTGCCGTCGCGAAAGCATTCGTCAAACCACTCTCGGGCTGCCGTCGCGAACGCGCGCGGGGCCTTCGTCGAAACGCTCTCGGGACGCGGGAGCGCGACCTTGGCGAGCATCGCGAAGACGAGGACCCAGCGGCGGACGCGGCGGCCCTCCCAGTAGATGCGGTAGACGCGCAGGCCGTTGAACTTGACCCACATGATCCAGACGATGAGCGACAGGAGCGCGGCCGCGGCCGCGTCGGCGGCGACGTGCCGCGCCCACTTGCGCCGGAGGGTGCCGTCGTTGACGTGCGGCTGGAAGCCCGGCGCGACGATGGTCGCCGGGCCCTCGATGAACTCGCAGGTGATGGACACGAGCAGGACGCACTGCACCGTGAAGCAGAGGACGACGAGGAAGATGCACTTGCCGATGTCGCGGCGCCGCGACTCCGTGACGGCCGCGACGAGGTAGATGGAGAGGCCCGCCGACGAGCTCCCGAAGTCGATGGCGTTCTCCCAGGCGCGGAGCGCGATCTCCTCCTTTTCCCGCTCCACGAGCGCCGTCACGGCCGCGTGCCAGGCCTTGCCCATGACCGTCTGCCGCTTGTGGGGGGAGCGCTTCGAGAGCACGGCCTGGACCTCGCGGTCCAGCGCGGAGATGTCGCGCCGCAGCGCGTCGCCGCGGCTCGCTTCGGGGACGCGCGTCGACGCCGGCGCCGAAAGGGCGGCGCGCGTCGACGCCGGCGCCGACGTGCGCCGGAGGCCCGGAGCCTCCGCGTCGGACGCGCGCTCCGGCGCCGACGCGCGCCGCTGCGGGTCCTCGACGTCGAAGCCCGGCGGCGGCGGAGGAGCGGCGAGTTCCGGTGGCTTGCTGTCCGACGCGCGCCGCGGCGCCGCGCCGCGCAGCGCGCCGACCATCGGGTTCGTGGCGCCGAACGTCGGCCCGTCGTCCCACTCGGCGCTGTCCGCGACCTTCTCCATTACTCCGTTTCGCTCCGCGGCGCGCCCTCCGGGTACGTGAAGAGCCAGGGGCCGATCCGGTACCGGACCGGGAGCGAGAGCCCGACGACGGCGACGAGGAGGACGCCGCGCACGAGGCCGAGCACGACGAAGACGGCGCGCGACGACGACGTCGAACACAAGGCTTCGAGAACCAAAGGGACGACGATTGTCACGACATCGACGAACGCGATCTCATCCTCCGCCATGCAATGGCCACCATGCTCTCCGAAAGAGGCTGCCCGAAAGGCTGCCCCAACATCGACATCAACCAAGTCGTTGACCAAGTTATACGGGGGGGGAGACGGACCCCCGAGGGCTCCCTAGCTCGTCGTGATCGCCACCGTTTCCCAAGCAACCCGAGCGCGAGGCTCCTAGGGTCCGTG